CAGCAGCACATTGCGTAAAGAAAATCGCTTCCACCGTTAACTGGCAGACTATGAAGGCAGAGTAGTGCAGAGAAGATAAACGGTTTGGTCGCCACTTCGGTTGGTTGGAGCAGAGAAGGAAAGGGCGAGCCGCATACATAAACATTATAAACACTCCGTGGACAACTAGTTCATTACTTCTTTTGGTGCTTGCAAGACGTTTTCCTGTAGTTACAATACAGTAAGTACTAAGAGAAATTAGTGAAAACTTCCTGAAGCATATCACCGAATTTTCTATTGGACGACATATTTTATTTTACTTTTTTTTTTAGTAAGTCCCATTTCTTTTCCTCTTCAATGCCGAAATTCCATTTTCTCAGCAAAAGGGTCAATTCTATTAGAATTATCTTTCACGTTTACTTTTATGCCTAAAATTTATTCATATGAAAGTTCTGGTTATACAATTGAATTTCACTTTGAGATAAATTATCTTCTGTATTTTCCGTAAGTACTTGGGAATTTCTCAATTTAATTTCTGGAACTCATCCGGACGGCAGACAACACGACTCACTTTTACTGAATAACAAAAGTAACAGTGAAACCATGGAGTTGCAGACCGGGAATATTCCATCCCTAATACAATATATAAGCTTCAGATCTTCTACAGGTGTATATTGGGGTGAAGCAAATAAATTTTAATCCAAAACGTCAGGCCCCTGAATCTTTATGTTATATAATGAAACACATTTCGAATTTATCAAAATAAGAGATGCTAGGTTTATTTAATACAGGTTTCATTAGAAGGAATATAATATGGAAAATATAAAAATTTGTCTTAGAAATAGACTCTGTTAATATTGCGCCAAAGAATCGTATAATTCGAACAAAACTTTGTAGAAAAAAAGAAAGAAAAGAGAGAAACTAACTGTCGATTCTGCAAAAATCCACCAATTGCTCCACAATCACCCTCACCTATCATCTGGGGCTGGTACAATAGGCCAGAAGTGGCCGCAGTACAAGGGACTCAGTCTCACCCCACTAGCAGTAACAAAATGCTCTACAAAGGCTATCATGAGCGAGACTTTTTGTTCTTCCCTCGGTTCATCTCGGCAAATGCTGCGATAGTACCTCGATTTGGGCCACGACAGCTTCCTGCCAAATTCTTTCCACTTCATTATTCACCAATGATCGTAATATTTGACGCTATAAGGGCTGAGATATTGGCAGGGTCGCGAAATAAACCGCAGAAAAGGTCTTAGGATTCCTTGTTCTTCTCCGCTTCCTGCTGGGTGTTGTATTTTGTTAAGTACTTCCTACAGGTAAAGTAAGGCTGACAACCTTACCGCCATCTTTCAGCCGATTGTCTAGATAATGTTAGACCCTCAAAGTCTCACAACCCTATGGGCCTTCACGGCCTGTATGAAACAAAATTAATATTATTTGCACTGTTTATTGAACGAAGCTGTCAGTAGCTCAGACTGAATATTGTAGAATGGCGGGAGTGGTAAATAATTAACTGGAAATTACATGGATGAAAACGATTATGACATAATTTGAGGTACTCTTCCGGAATTTGCCTGGAAGGGCTGAGACGAACACATAAAGCTCTCAGTCAGGGTAAGACTCCTGAGTACGAAACAGTGCTAGCCACTTGACCGTGATATTCGGTTAATGAATATTAGATAGGATGTTTTGCACACTTGTTTCTCATCACCACACAAAGTTTGATTCCCGCTGGAAATTTGTGACTTGAATTCTTTTCAATTATACGCATAACAGCTTTGAGACCCCGGGTATCAGGGGCTCTTTCCACGGTGGTAAAGGCTTATACCCATACCATTCCGCGGTATGTGGTGAAATCTTGTATTAAACGTCAACAGGGACGCCAATAAAAAAATACAAATTTATTATATTAAAAACGGTTCGTCATGAAAATGGTTTGTATAAAGTACGGATTCCAAGTCCTACAGCTTATATTTAAAGCAAGTTTGAATGTGATGAAATTTTACTGAAGTAAAAGAAGGAAAGTATTCCTGAATCTCTGCAGTCCGACATCTGCAAAGCGAATTACTTTGTATGCATGGAGGCTAGGTTAGGCGTGGAAGAGCAAATAAGGAGACTGGAAAACGTGTACTGTGGGGTATTAATTTAACTAATGGA